TACAACACAAAGAGGATTATCACCAGGCTACTGACTCCATCTGTTACATAAACACATTCACCCTTTGCTACACACTGTTACGGTCTGTACTGTCGGTTTGTTGTGAAGCCCTTTAACAACCATAAATCACTCTGTGGTTTGGTGGAAGAAAGAATTTATTTCAGGGTTGAACTGCTTCGTTTTGTCTCTGTATGGAGACCTCGACTGTGATGCGTCTCTTTTTGTTGCTTTGCCTGCTTCACACATCTGGTCTGTGAACCCTCTCTTTAAAAGTTGCGCCACATGTTGGTTTGTAAATGTACACTCTCTAAATAATGTGACTTTACTGCTTATATTTCTAGTTGTATTGAATATTGTGAGCATGGTTCTATTATCCTTAGATCATCTACAGTCTGTCCAAAATGCCGCAGCCCTTTTACTGACAGGTATTCGCAAGCATGAGCACATTACACCTACTCTGACCTCCTTCCACTGGCTCTCAGTCTGGCTCCTGATTTACACTTCTTCTAATCTATAGAACCTTAAATGGTTCTGCTCCCTCTCACTAGGATGCTAAAGTTTTAGGATCAGATGCTTCTAGTGGTCCTGAAGGTCTGTCTAAAATCTAGAAAAGTCTGCCCCTACTTTGTGGAATAACCTTCTTCTGCGTATTCGGAGGGCATCATCTCTCTTTTTAAATGTCAACTTAAAGCTTATTTTTATTCCCTTTATAAATAAACTTGACTATAATAAATTCAAATTATTTTTGACCACCGTTAAACCCCAGTTCTTTTATTGAACAGATCTGAATGAAGATGGAGTCCGACTTGTTTCATTTTAGTGCTGATTTATTTTATCTTATATCATATGCTCCGCATGCATCGAGCAGAAGTCATAACAAAATGAAGAATTCCATGTGTGTGTGTGTATGTTGTATGCATGATGTGTAACTAAAACATTCTTTCAGACATAATTCTTACACAAGATTAATACAAAAATAACTGGTGTCAAGGTACCCTTCTCAGAGTCAACATTATCTTCTAACCTTGAAGCTGAGTACACATGAGCAGACTTTGAATCTTACTAAACTGCATTAATAACACATTAAAGTCTAATAATTATCTGACTGATTTATTAATTTCTAACACCACAGACCCTGGGGAGAGTCATCTCATCAGACAGTGTCATGTACATGTGATTTGAAAAAGAGGAGAGAATTATGGGAGTTTTGTGAAATTGTATATTTTTACATTGCATGTACATTCTGATAAAATCATATTCTCAGAGGATATAGAGGAATTGGAATCCAATATGGATTAAATACTTATTCATATGGACTCAAATCAGAATGAAAACTACACTGAATCATGCCACAGGCTCAGTCCCATACAGAAGCACCTTGTTCATGCACAGACTTTTAAGCTCTCTAGGATATTGTGCTTGGGGTTTAGGGAGTATCACATCTCAGGCAACCTTGATTGGGGATGACAGCCCCTTTACACTGTCAACATGCTATTTTTACTCAGCTTATTGCACATTATTGCCTTCAGGCAGCCCAATCCCATTTTACCTCTCCCCCTCACAAAATGTGTCATTATTAACACATACATTTTGGTTGTCTGCCTCCATGTTAGATCCCAGAACAGAGCTTAGCTCTACAGTGGACACATTTGAAATATCAGTTGTGTGCTAATGAAAAACCAGAACATTCTGAAATGTCGTCATGTGTCTGGGAAAGGCCACACCAGTGTTTATCCTTGTCTTGTGCCATTGCCTATCCCGTTTCTTCTTTGACAGTGGAGATTCATGCTGTCTTCCTTTGTCTTGTGTTAAAGTAGAACTATGATCCTATCCTCCGCTTCTTCAAACTGTATCTCTTAAACTTTTCTTGTTGTTAGCATTACTTCTTCGTCTTCCAAGCATCTCCAAATCCAAGCTGCTACTTCAGTATGAAAACAGTTTGTCCATTCTGGGCAGCTGTAAAAAACACGGCGGCTCAACAGGGTGGCCTCCATAATAGGGGACCCGCTCTTATGTAGATATAAGGCTCATTCTAATGTAAAGAAAAGGCAACGATTCTTCTTTTCTGGTGATTACACTAATGAAAACATAATTATGCATACTAGTCCATTTCTGCTAATAAATTGCTCTGGATCTTACACACTGCACCCTTTAACCTCACCTACCAAGCTCTGAGTAGACAGCCATCAGTAAGAGATTTAGAAGTCCAGGCTACCTGTAGGGGAGACCCTGTTGATTGTTACTATTGGGCTAAACATATGGTTAATGTAACCCAAGAACAAAACTGAAACGGCCTCTCAACCAGACACAAACATGCACTCCACTTTGACGGTTTCCTCTTACAGAGAAAACCAAACTTCACTTTCTCAAAAGGAGTCGACTGTGACTAGAAAAGGCGTTCAGCAACCTGTGGAGATGCCCCGACTCGACTCATAGGTCAGACCTGTCTAATTCAGTGAAAAATGTTTTGTTATGGGACGAGCGGTTTTCTGGCTGACTCACGCGTACGTGCGTTCACTGCCGATCGTACACTGACTGAAGGTCTGACCTGAAGAACAAATAATCTCCCAACTTCTGCTGAATTTCTTTATGCTGTAGAAGTTCTGGTGCCTGATACAGCAGTCACTTCACCTCCTAACAGTATTACATGGCAGATGCCAGAACTAACTCAATTTTAACAGTGCTTATTAAATGAACTGAATCTCAAACTTTAGCCTTGAACTTTTCATTTTTCAGCAAACATCCACCAGTCGCCCTGACAACTGCTGATGTAAAAATAATCTTCCCCCATTTCAACTGTAAATTGCCTCATTTGGAGTATTTCTTTTCCGCAGTGGTCTATTGGACAACTTTCATTTCCTTCATCTTAAGAAATAGTAAATGTGAAGTGACAAATGTGAAATGTGTTGCAGATTATTTCATTTCTGTCCGGTAAATGTGGCAAGAAATGTGTGCTTTGATACAGTGGGCCTGCATGGAAAGATGTAAATTTACTCATCATTTGTCAAAGACTTCATGCCCCCACCCCCACCCGGTTGCATTATCCAGCAATGTCCAGAAACAGTTTTTTTTATTAGAATATAAACATATTTATACTGGTTCACTGTCTCTTGGCTCCAGTCTAAGTTTTCCTTTTGATTTAATAATGTCTGCTCACAGTAAAATTGTCAGTAATCGCCCATTTATGTGAAGAACACGCTGACCTGCTCCCAGCTTTCCCACATCAGCCTGTACCAGGATAATGTGGGTCAGTAGTTTAAGTGTAACATGCTGGAGAAGTGCAGGTTGAACGCACGTGATTCACGGTGTAAATGTAATGATAATAACAAAGCTTAGACGGAAGGTAGTAGACCATCCTGACAGCAGAAGTGTGAAAAATCACAGCTTGTAAGGCTTCTGCTAATGATATCTCTCCCCATTAGTCTCAAAAGCAGAAAAGGTCACAGTGCCACAATGGATCAAGCAGAAATTCGCATACTGTGTATTCCCATGCTTTTCCTCAACCTCTGAGAAATGAAGAAAATGTGAGAAAAATCAAAATGGGTCACTTCACCTTTTAATACTAACAGCCTTCTGTTTGTTTCTTCTTGCTCTCTGTGCAGATAATGTTTATAGGAAATGTCTTGCCAATGGGACATGGGCTCTGAAGGGGAACTACTCCATGTGCAAGGCTATACTTCACGATGAGGTAAGACTGCAGCGTATATGTATCCAGATCAAAGAGGCTTTCCTTGAAAGAAGGAAACTGCTCCATACAGAAGTCAAGGCTAGCAGTGGAACATTTCTCAATGCTTGTAGTAAATATGGATTTAGTGTTGGTTCCTCTGAGCCTGAAAAGGACACCACAGAAATGCTAAGAATGCTGTGAGCATGCTATTGGCAAAGCCCAGGAGCATCACTTGAAGGAATCAGCTTCAGAACCACAATGAGTGTTTTGCATCACTGACACTTCTGCTTTAAAGTCAGGCTTGACTGGTTTTGCATGTTTATGCAGGTGGAAGCATTAGCTCTGCTAGTCAACCTGCAGCTGCTTCTCTCTCTCTCTCTGCGAATTCCTAAAAGAAGCAGCAGCAAGCACAGTGATGCCTCTAAAACCGGTGTTGTCCTCCAGTGATGTGAGCATGTTGTGAAAGCAAAGAGGAAAACTGTCATTGGGCAAGCTGCTGTTCCAGCCCTGCTGCGCTCCACATTTTGAACCATTCACATTGCTGTTATTTTTCAGCCTCTACCTGCATGATATGATGGTGACAAGCATTCATTTTATTAGCAGAGATTGAGCAGAGACAAAGCTTTCAGGCAGAACATGCTGACCCAAATCAGCCTGTGACAGACAGACACACGATGGAAACATGACACAGTTTGAATGTTAAATAACAGACTCTCCAGAAATATTGTAATAATCTATGTCTGTAGATTTTTTACTTTACATTTTAAATTTATTGCAGCCTTGTTGCGCATCTGAAGGATAATTCTAATTATTCTTTACTGTAAACAAACCCCCACTTTGCTCTTCCTATAGAACAGAGGTTTTCAGCCATTGGTCCGTGGCCCCCCTGTGGTGCGTGAAGGCATTGCAGGTTGTATCTGACCATGTCTTCATTAATGTGCTTTCAGTGAAGGAATAACCAATTTTTAAATTTGATTTTGATTAAACACATTTCCATGTGTGTAATTAAACATGTAGCTTTATTATTTGTGAATAATCAAATTCATGCAAATCTATCAAAATTAGAAAAGTCGAGGTGACGTTCAGGATCTGGACTGTCCACCCCACAACAGTGGTCCTCAGGTTACTTATTAGTAAATGGACTGTATTTATATAGCGCATTTCCACAGTGTGTTACACTGGCCAAAGCGCTTTACAGAGATGATACACCATTCACACACCGATGACGA